GAATCGATGTTTCTCTCTCATCGATGTTTCTAACTCTCTATCCCTCTCCCTTCCTCTCGGTAAAAAATCAATAAAATATATATATTTTTAAAAAGGGACTAGTATATTTACACAAGGGAAATACCGTGTGGCTGTAAAAAAAGAAGGATCTCTTACCCTTTGAGACAGCAGTGGGAAGAGTTTAACCAAAGGACTTATATGCATATATGCATAACCCATGGAGAGAGACAATAATATGGTAAATGCCTGGGGAAGGGGTGGGAGTGGGATGGAGGGGATCAATGGGGGGGAAAAAGGGGCACATCTATAATACTTTCAACAATAAAGATAAATTTTAAAAAATAAATAAGCCATTGCTGGTGTTTTTCAGTGGTTAGAGTGTTGGCCTGCACACCAGAAGGTCTTGGGTTCAATTCCCTGGTCAGGGCGACTGCAGGAGACAGCCAGTCAATGTGTCTCTCTTGCGTCAGTGTTTCCCTGTCTATCTCTCTCTCCCTCGCTCCCTTCTACTCTCGCTGAAAAAAAAAAACAATGTAAAAGATATCCTCAGGTAAGGATTAACCGAAAATAAAAAATAAATAAAATAAATAAATGGTAAAGGTACATACCCCAGCTTGGTGTTGTTTAATGGTTAGAGTGTCCGCCTGCTCACCGGAGGGTCTTAGGTTCAATTTCCTGTCAAGGGCATCTACCTGGCTTGCAGGTTTGATCCTCTCCCCATGTTGGGCTGGGGTGGGTGCGTGAGGCAACCAATCCATGTGCCTCTTCCACGTTGATGTTTCTCTCTTCTCTCTCCCCCTCCCCCCGCCCTTCCATTCTCTTTCGAAAAAGCAATGGAAAAAATATCCTCACTCCCTGGGTGAGGATTAAAAATAATAATAATAAAATTGTAAAAGGTAAAGGTACAGTATAACTGCAACTGACTCGCAAATGGTTCGTGAAGAAAATTCTCCATCATTCTCTTTACACGTGCTCATGCACAAACATGGTTATTTTTTCCTAAACCAATTGGGAGTACGTTGTATGCATTTGTTTACCTGTCTTTCTTCAGGCTGCCAGAACCAAAATGCCATAGACTGGGTGGCTTAAACAACAGACATTTGTTTATTCTGATTCTGGAGGCCAGGAAGTCCAAGATTCAAGACTTGATTCTTGGTGAGGGTCCTCTTCTTGGCTTGTAGAGGTCCTTTCATAGCGAGCTCACATAGCCTTTCTCAGTGGAGATCTGTGCTTTTCTTCTTATGAGGGCTTTAATCATATTATGACATAATTTGAACCTAATCTAAACCTAATTATCTCCCAAGGGCCTCACCTTCAAATACCATCACATTTGGTGGAAGAGACACAAACATTCATCCTATAACATTTTGCCCATGGGTTACCCCAAATCATGTCCTTCTTGCACGCAAAATAGATTAATTCCATCCTAACAGCACCAAAAGTATTAACTCATTCCAGCATCATCTCAAGTCTAAAATCCAAAGCCCCATCTAAATATCGTCTAAATCTGATATGAATGAGACTCAAGATAATTCATGCTGCGACAGATTTCCTGTCCAGCTGTGAACCTGTGAAACATACAAGTTATGTGCTTCCAAAATACTATGGTCGGACAGGCAGCAGATAGGCATTTTTGTTCCAAAAAGGAGAAATTAGAGGAGAAAAAAGGAGTCACAGCTTCCAGCAAGTCCAAAATGTAGCAAGGTAAATTTCATGAGATCTTAAGGCCCAAGAATAATCCTTTTAGTTCAGTGGTCAATGCTCTGCCCTCTGGCCCTATTGGAGTATGGAGGTCATGTGTTGTCCCTGGCCTTCCCAATCCCCCATGCTCCAGGCTGTCACTCTTGAGTTTCTGAACTGTTGAATCTGAGGCAATTCCTCCTAGAACAAGATGATCTCTGAATCACCTTTGCAGCCATTGTTTTGTTGTTAATCCTTACCCGAGGATTTTTTACCATTGACTTTTTTTAGAGAGTGGAAGGGAGGGAGAGGGAAGAGAGAGAGACATTGATGTGAGAGAGACAAAGTAATCGGTTGCCTCCCCTATGTACCCAACTGGGGCAGGGGATCAAATCAGTCAGCCGGTATGTGCCCCTGACCCCTGACCGGGAATGGAACCCATGACCCTTTTGTGCATGGGTCGACACTCTAACCAGTGAGTAACACTGACCAGGGCTGGAGTCATTATTTCCTTTTCTTGAAAATAGTGCACATTCACAGCCAAAATAGCTCAATGGTCCAGTGCTGTAGGACCTAAGAATTCCTAGCAACCCCTTACCTGTAGCACTTGGTATGGATCATCAGACAGTTCCACAAGGCTTGTTTTCAGATATACAGTAGTCTTCTGCTCTCTTCTACCATTTTCTTCATCTTCAGAGATAACTAATTTATATTTTAGCAGATTCTTTTGAAGTTTGCTTCCATAATCTAACATGCATAATCTAGCAGTAATAACTGCTGCTTCTTCTTCTTTTTTTTTTTAAATATATTTTATTGGTTTTTTACAGAGAGGAAGGAAGTGGGATAGAGAGTTAGAAACATTGACGAGAGAGAAACATTGATCAGCTGCCTCCTGTACACTCCCTACTGGGGATGTGCCCGCAACCAAGGTACATGCCCTTGACCGTAATCGAACCCGGGACCCTTCAGTCCGCAGGCCGATGCTCTATCCACTGAGCCAAACTGGTTAGGGCTATTACTGCTTCTTGACTTTTCAGTATTGGACACTAGTCATTGACATCACTATTAGAGGATTTTCACTCCTCTTAGGGGAGGATTCTTTTTGGAAAGACTGTGGCAAGTTTAGTGTGACTGAAGAATAATTGAGTGCAGGAAGGGCATTGCAGTAGCTCACTGAAGGAAGAGGTATTGAGCTTTTGTTTTTAAATTGAGGAGTAACATACATTTAGTTAAGTGCATAAAATGTGCTAGCTGTACAACTCCATGCTTTTTTACCTGTATGTATACTGTGTCTCCAATGCCTCCCTCAAGATGTAGGACAACATTCCCAGTCTCTTTAAAATTCCCTGGTGCCCCACAAGAAAATTTTGAATCAAGGCATGGAAATTCATTACTAGTTCTATGTGAAAGCCAGAAGAAGATAAGGTGGAGCTAAAGATGGCTCCAAACTTGGGAGACTGGGTTGACTGGATGGTGATTCTGTCGACTAGGTAGGTAATATAGGAGGAGAGGAGGGTCAGGTTTGAATTGAGGGAGGAGTTAAGATGGTGAGATGTTGATTTGGGCACATCTAAGTGGAGCTAGATAGAAGGCAGGTGGAAATGTAAATTTAGAGTTTTGCGGGGCTGGGGGGATTGGGGATTGAAATGTAGATTTGCACTTACTTATCAGCATGTCAAGTCCTTTTGAGATCTTAAGAAGTAAATGAGAATTCTCTAGAGCAGTGGTTCTCAACCTTCCTAATGCTGCGACCCTTTAATACAGTTCCTCATGTTGTGGTGACCCCCAACCATAAAATTATTTTTGTTGCTACTTAATAACTGTAATTTTACTACTGTTATGAATTGTAATGTAAATATCTGATATGCAGGAGGTTTTTTCATTGTTACAAATTGAACATAAAACCTAGTGATTAATCACAAAAACAATATGTAATTATATATGTGTCTTCTGATGGTCTTAGGCGACCCCTGTGAAAGGGTCGTTCGACCCCCAAAGGGATCGAGACTCACAGGTTGAGAACCGCTGCTCTAGAGTCTGTAGACTGTGAGCTGACCTAAAGTTAGGATGAGAAGTGTATGTTGCTTTTATTAACTCTGTTTTAGTCCAAATAGTGAATAAAATTAGTGAGAAAATTGAGTTTAAACATTTAAAAAATAAAACGATAAACAAAAATTCAATAATATATAGTCTTAGTTAGAAATAAAAAGTAAATTGGTTCAGAGGGTTATAAGTAGGAAGTATGCTTCCTTCCCCCATTCCAGTTTCTTGTATCTCCTTCCAGATGATTTTAGTGCATATTAAGTTTATGGTTTTATCTTTTGATTATACGGCACCCCATTATTGCTTTGGTTGGGAGTGTCTTTCCAGTGACTTAAAAGTATGGTTGGTAGCTTATAGGCATGTGACCAAAAAGGAAGCTAGCAATCTACCAGATACAGAGTTCAAAACACTGGTTATAGGGATGCTCAATGAACTTAGGGGAAGAGTAGATGAACTCAGAGAGAACTTACAGAGAGAAACCATAAACAACAACAACAATCAGAAATGAAGGATTTAATAACTGAAATGAAGACTACTTAGCTGGAATCAGCAGCAGATTCAGTGACGCAGAAGAGTGACCTGTGTTTTTGACTGAGGCCACATTCCAAAAGTTCTTTCAGAGTTGAATCTCAATTCCTTCAAATGCATTTCATTTTAAAAGGGGCTGCGATAGAATCACATAGTATTTAAAAGCAAACTAATGGTTTAACTTCCTACTTCCTAGACAGTACAACCATCTGTTTACATTTACTTGGTCCTGCTGGTTTGGGTGTATCTCAAATCCAGGCGGATATCTTTTAAAGAGATAGCCACAGCATTCCTGACATATAAATCTGCCACACATATTTTAGACTTAGGCGCTCTGAAAATTGCCTCACATTTTACTTTTTTGTTCAATTGAGAGAAAATAGTTGAAACAATTTTAGAGTTCAGAAGAGTTGGGTACGGGTATGACAATATTTTTAAATGTAGTTTTTTAAAGAGATGATCAGAATGTTAATTTTCTTGTGTTTTGATTGCTTTTGATTTTGTTTTGTTTAGCTTATTAGCTTATGTGTTATATTGTTAATTTTTAAATAATTTTATATCTTTAGATAATGGCTCATTGCTAGCTATTCTCTTCTAAACATATTACAACCTTCTGCATAAAAAGTTTAAGTATTAAATATTGACACAATCTCTTGGAAAAGAGATTGATGAAGACTTAAACCAGTTTTACGAATAGTTTTCCTAAGTTCTTTGGGCAGTCAAATTGAATCAGTACCAATAGATCCCATGTATTATGCCTATCTGAATGTCTTTTCTTTGTCAAATACAGCTATTTTTTCCCAAACTGTTCGAACTTGCAGCATTCAAGTAACTTTCTCAAACTAACATTATCAGGTTACAATATTCTAAACCATATTTAGCCCAGGGGCATGCATATATTAATTTCTGTAGTTTTGTAAATTTTTATTAATTTGTTCTTATTAGTTTACATCAGATATCTGATCAGGTTGCCTGAAAGGGCAAAAATCTTTTCTTCCTTTGGGACTTTTTATAACTCTAGCTCAGAGCTCACTTGAAAAATATGCTCCTGCCTGGTGGTGTGCTTTAGTGATTGAGCTTCGACCTATGAACCAGGAGGTCAGGGCTCGATTCTTGGTCAGGGCACATACCCAGGTTATGACCTTGATCCCCAGTGTGGGGTGTGCAGGAGGCAGCTGATCAATGAATCTCTCTCATCATTGATATCTCTCTCTTTCTCCCTCTCTCTCTCTCTCCCACTCCCACCCCCCTTCCTCCCTCTCTGAAATTAAAAAAAATGCTCCTGGTAAATTCTGATTGACTGTCCTCACTGTTCTCAGTTGTTTCAAGTATGATTAACATTAACACACAAAATACTCTAGTGGGCCCTGGTCAGGTAGCTCAGTTGGTTAGAGCCTCATTCCAATACACCAAGGTTGTAGGTTCAATCTCTGGTCAGGTCACATACAAGAAGCAACCAGTAAATGCATAAATAAGCAGAACAATAAATCAGTGGTTTTTTCTCTCTTTCCAAAATCAATAAATTTTTAGAGAATGCTTTGTGGGTTTTTTCTGTAAAATAAGATTTCCATTAAAATTGACCAAAAAGGCTCTAACTGGTTTGGCTCAATGGATAGAGCATCGGCCTGTGGACTGAAGGGTCCCAGATTCCATTCTGGTCAAGAGCATGTACCTTGGTTGCAGGCACATCCCCAGTAGGGGGTGTGCAGGAGGCAGATGATCAATGTTTCTCTCTCATTGATGTTTCTAACTCTCTATCCCTCTCCCTTCATCTCTGTAAAAAAATCAAAAATATATATATATTTTAAAAATTGACCAAAAAGTAAAAAGCTTTAAGTTATGATATCAAAAGTACAATGGTTTGGTATCTGTATATTAAAACTCAGGTACCCCAAAGAATGTATGAAGCCAGGGATAATCTTGCAGCATTTAAATGGACACTTAGATGGAGGGGCAGAATGATTTCATTACAGTTACTGATTGCTGTATGCCTTGCATTGGATTTCACTTTCTCCTTTTATACAATGCTGAATCACTCACAAAAGTAAGCATTGTGTGTGTTTTCACAGGGGCCTAATGTTGATGTTTGGAATACTGTGATTGAGTAGCTTTAAGGACATAAAGCAGTAAAACATTTACAAATATTTTATTCTAAAACTGAATTTACTTTTGATCACTTTATTAGCTAATATACTATTTTTCAGGATAGGCTTTCTCTGTTGATTTATATTTCTGTGTGCTTTTTTATGTTTTTCAATTATGGTTTACAATCAATGTTATTTTGTATTAGTTTCAGGTATAGTGGTTAGACAATCACATACCTTACAAAGTGTTCCCCCCAATATTTCTTGTTTTCTTTATAGAACAAAGGAAATTATGTATTCTCCAACCATAGTATTTTAGGATCTATTTCATGAAATCAAATAACGAGAGAAAAGAGTCAGGCATTGTTCTTAGGCAGTCCCTCTCCCTCTGTTTTTTGTTCGCTGTTCATCTGAATTATGTGTAACTTTACTTCTATTGAAAAATAATGATACCCTGTTTAGATCTTAGTGGGTTTTTTAAACTATAACTTAGGGAATTCCAAAGGTATAGTTACACAAATCTGTGAAGACTACTTAGATTTTTAAGTAGAAATCTTCCTTAGGTTATTGAAGTAAACATTTTAAATCTCTCTTTCAGGTCCATCATGTTACACAAAATGGAGGACTGTATAAAAAACCGTTTAATGAAGCTTTTGAAGAAACACCAATGCTGGTTGCTGTGCTTACTTATGTGGGGTATGGTGTACTCACCCTCTTTGGATACCTTCGAGATTTCTTGAGGTATTGGAGAATTGAAAAGTGTCACTATGCAACAGAAAGAGAAGAACAAAAGGTAATTGTTAGAGAATCTTTAATTCTGTGAATGGAAGCCTTTTATAGAAATCTTGGTATTTTCCTTTTTTTAATATTTTTTTATTGATTCAGAGAGGAAGGGAGAGAGAGATAGAAATATCAATGATGAGAGAGAATCATTGATCAGCTGCCTCCTGCACATCCCCTACTGGGGACCGAGCCCACAACCCAGGTATGTGCCCTTGACTGGAATCGAACCCAGAACCCTTCAGTCCGCAGGCTGGTGCTCTGTCCACTGAGCCAAACCAGTTAGGGCGAAACCTTGGTATTTTCACTCAGTTTTTTCTTTAGATATTTTGGTACACATTAAAATAAAAATATTCCAGATGCAGTTAAACTTTCCACAAAGAAAGTTGGAAACAAGGTTAAAGGCATGAAGAAACTAAAGAACTTAACTTTTCTTGCCCTAGCTGGTTTGGCTCAGTGGATAGAGCATCGGTCAAAGGCACATGCCCGGGTTGCGGGCTCAATCCCCAGTAGGGGGTGTGCAGGAGGCAGCCAATCAACGATTCTCTCTCACCATTGATGTTTCTATCTCTCCCTCTCCTTTCCTCTCTGAAATCAATAAAAAATATATATATTAAAAAAAAAAGAACTTTCTTTTCGGTCCTCATCGAGGATATGTTTTTTTCATTGATGAGAGAGAGAGAGAGAGAGAGAGACATTAATATGAGAGAGAAACATTGAGCCTTTGCCTCCGATACACGCCACAACTTGGGATCAAACCTGAAACCCGGGTATGTGCCCAAGTTAATGTTTCCTAAGGAGCTTAGTTTCAGAACTGGCATGCAGACACAGGTTGGTGAAGAGCCGAAAGCCATGTTCTTGCTATTCACAATACCATATTGTATCCCAAGTTGTGTCCACAGTCATCTGAAAAGATTTTGTTCTATAGAACTCGGGATGTGTTTTCTCATAGACACATTATACATAAATGTCTGGTTCACAAATCAGGTCCTGTCCCCAAACAAATAAGCCCTAAAGCAGAATGGCTGTTTATAGTAGAAACCACCTTATGTTAGTAATGGTAAACAGAAGTGATAATGTCTTTGGGGAGGAGGATCTAATTCACTTCCCTTTTCTCTGTATACTCCTTTGCCTCTCTAGAGTTTTGTACAATAAACACACGTTACTTATTCTCAAAAAGAAATAAAGTTAGAGTGAAATGCCTGATTTTACAATAAAGAAACTTGTTCAGGATTGAAGATTCTGGCCCTGGGGAAAAGGGTCCAGGCATTCTTTGTCATCTCAACCATTCTGCATCCTTCCCAGCTCAAGCACCATAAGTTGGCCATCTTACTCTTTGCCCTGAGATCCCTACAAGTTAATTTCATTAAAAAGGTATTGTTTAAATACCTAATGCAAACAAAGCCCTGCATTCAGAACTTGATCCAGTTGGCCAAACTAATTTTCATAATTGGAAACCAGAACAAATTAAAATTTTCTTTACCATTTTTTTGACCCCTGTATGTCTCAAATAGACTTTCTAGCTAACATGCATCCATGGTATGTTGATTTTTTTTTTTTTTACATCCCTCAGGTATGGCTTACTTACCATAACTTACAGCTTATTATACACTTACTGTATAGTGTGGTATTGCAATTACTTGTTCACAGGCAATCTTTTCCTACTAGACTGAGTTGATGGCAGTTATGACTGGATGGGAGCTAAAGTTTTATCACATATTCAGACTAGAACATCTTTATCTACCGGGACCCCTCATAGTGTCAACATACTGTAGAGACCTAATAAATGACAGGTGGGGGTGGAGATGGGATGAGCTGATTATGGTATAGAGAGGAAAGTATAGGTAAAGGCATAAGCAGTGTTTGGAACCAGTGTTTGGGTGTATGAAAAATTGTGTTTTGAATGTAAACTAAGAAGTTTGGTAGGCACTGAGGAGTCCTGGGAAGTTTTTGAGCAGGAGAATGACAATAGAGTTTGCACAGCTGGTGCTCTGTCAAGCATGATTAATGGAAGGGACAGAGGGAGGGGATTCATCTGAATTACTTGGTGAATAAGTATAGTATCTTTGGAACTTGTTTCATGTTTCAGGGTAAATTGTTTAAGTATTGGGGCTATCTATGTGAAAGAATTGGAATACATAGATTTTATTCTTTTAGTTTCTAATTTTGTTGAAGAAACATTAACACTTTGAATTTATAGGCCTTTGCAAAGCTATCTATATGTAAATAGTCCTTGAATTGTATGCAGATTTAGAACAAAAAAGTAAACTGAGTAGCATAGGATTAGTCAGGAAACAGTTTTTGGAGGAAGTAATAGTAAATATTACTTATTTATTTTTTATTAATCCTCACCTGAGCATATTTACCATTGATTTTTTTTTAGAGAGAGTGAAAGGGAAGAGGAGAGACAGAAAGAGAAACATTGATGTGAGAGAAATGCATCGATTGATTGCCTCCCGCAGGCGCCTCAATGGGGCCCATAGTTTGAGCCTGCAACTGAGGTACATGTCCGTGACTAGAATTGAACCAGGGACCCTTTGGTCTGCCAGTTGACACTCTATCCACTGAGCCAAAACAGCTAGGGCTATTTATTTATTTATTTATTTATTTTATTGTCGACAGTATTACAGATGTCCCCCATCCTCCTATCCCTTTCCTCCCCTACACCCAGACCACACCCCAGATCTTCACTACATTATTGTCTGTGTCCATGGGCCTTGTATATATGCATATAATTCTTTCATTACTTTTAGAGGGAAAGAAAGAATAATTCATCGTTATGGTAGAGCTTGTTTTCTGATGCTGGATTAGATGTAGTCCAGGGATAGGCAAATTTTAGTGTTAATATTGGAAAGAGGTGAGGGAAAGTGCTTGCTTGGGATCATAAAATCCTATCTAATAAAAGAAAAATATGGTAATTAGTGTACGACCGCTACCCTTCCTATTGGCTAATCAGCGAGATATGCAAATTAACTGCCAGACAAGATGGCGGCCAGCAGCCAGGCAGCTGGAAGCGAACATGAGGCTTGCTTGCTTCAGTTACGGAGTACTCCAACGTTCCCCGCCTGCCTTGCCAGCCTCTGAGCCTGCAGTTTAAGTAACATTGTAACAAATAAGAAGCTAAACAAAACCCCAGAAACCTGCTTTCAGCTGGCTGGGATCTCAGAGCTGGAGTTGATACAGAGTTTCAATTATAGAACCTAAACAAACCAGATACCTGCTTTCAGCAACTGAGGCCTCAGAGCTGGAGCCAGAGCTAAAGCTGGCCCAGAATAAAAAAAAGAAAAGAAAAAGAGCAGGTGGGAGCTTTAGTCACCTGTCAGCCTGAAAACAGCCCGCAGCCCCTCACCCAGACTGGCCAGGCACCCCAGTGGGGACCCCCACCCTGAAGGGTGTGTGACCAGCTGCAAACAGCCATCATCCCCTCATCCAGGCTGGCCAGGCACCCCAGTGGGGACCTCCACCCTGAAGGGTGTGTGACCAGCTGCAAACAGCCATCATCCCCTCACCCAG